CCCCAGTCCCCAGCCCCTGACCCCATTCCTGTCCCCGTGTCCCAGCCCTGAACTGGCTCTTTCCCAAATCTCCCCCATTCTCCCCCAAACTCCCAACTCTCGGCCCCACCCCTTCACCCTTGTTGCCAATTTTTGTGCTGAATCCTCAAGATTTAATGCCCGCACCTTGGGTTTGGGGACAGGGTTGCAGATTTTGGGCTGCCCCAGAGGGATTCTCAGGCCGATGGTCACAAGTGTCAAGGGCTGAGGTTTTGGAGTAAGGGTCTGGGTTTGAGGACAGGGGGGAGTCCAAATGGGAGCAGGGCCAAAACCACCATGACCAACATCACCACAATCAATATCCTCACCAGCAGCAGGAGCACAACAATCATCCCAATTTTTGGCACAGAAATAAAGAGCGGAATCCTCGACCTTGAGGTTGGTCATGGTCGGCGTCATCAGACTCTGCCCGTTGTCCCTGGCGATCATGAACCGGCCCTTGACCGAATCCGCGTACCAGGTGCTGCCACCACTGCGGATGTAGGCGACGAACTCCAGCCCCTGCCCGGGTCTCTGTCAGGCCCATTGTAGGGCAAGACTCCCGAAACTGAATCCCGAACCTCGGCAGAGGAGGCGCAGGGAACCCCCGGGGGGCTGGAGGTCCCCCCCGCACTCCAGCAGAGTCACGGACGCCTGGAGCCCTGCGGGACAAAGGGGAGATGGGGATGAGGGAACGAATCCACCCAAATGTTTATTCTTGCCTGCAGACCCTGATGTTGGCCCCAAATTGGGACCCTGGGACCTCCCCATCCTCCTCCTGCAGCTCCTGCTGGCCCTCCCAGGTGGATCCCACACCCTTTTCTGGCATGGCGGTGCCCACTTTGGGTCCATAACCAATGCGTCTCCTCATCCCCATCTCCCCTTTGTCCCGCAGGGCTTCAGGTGGCCATGACCCTGCTGGAGTGCGGGGGGGACCTCCAGCCCCCCAGGGGTTCCCTGCGCCTCCTCTGCCGAGGGTCCGGGTTCGATTTCAGGAGTTACCCATTGAGCTGGGTGCGCCAGAGACCCGGGCAGTGGCTGGAGTGGCTCGCAGGGATCTACAGCGATGGTTCCTACATCTCCTACGCGCCATCGGTCAAGGGTCGGTTCACGATCTCCAGGGACAACGGGCAGAGGTCGGTGATGCTGACCATGAAGAACCTCAAGGACGAGGACTCTGCCACCTATTTCTGTGCCAAGGGTTTTGCTGGTTATGCTGGTGATATCGATCCCTGCTGTACTGACCTCTTCCCCATCACTGCGTCCGCCCTGTCCCAGTTCCCCAGACCCTTCCCCAGCTCCCAGCCCCTGACCCAGCCCATGACCATTTCTCCATTTCCCTTTCCCCTCTCCGGCCCCAAACCCCAACCCTCTGCCGTTGATCTTCCCCCAAACTCTGCGCCAAAGATCAGCGCTGGGCCCTGGGCTGTGGACACAAATTCAGTCACCGAGAGTGGGGATGAGGCCAGGGATTAGGGAAGGGTCTGCAGTTTGGGGACATTTGGGGATACAAAAATAGGGGTGGAGTTAATAGCATTGGCATCATGGTCATCCCCATCCGCCCCAGCGGCTTTGGCACAGAAATAGGATCAGGAATCCTCGTCCTGCAGGTCGATCATGGTCAGGGCTGTGAAGCTCTGCCCGTCGTCCCTGGAGGTCCTGACCCGGCCCTTGACCGACGGCGCGTAGTAGGTGTAACCCCTGGGGCTGTGGATCCCTGCGCCCCATTCCAGCCCCTTCCCGGGGCTCTGGCGGATCCATTGCATGGAGTGACCCCCAAAACTGAACCCGGACCCTTGGCACAGCAACGTCAGGGACCCCTCGGGGGGCTGGAGTTCCCCCCCGCACTCCAGCAGGGTCACGGCAGCCCAGAGCCCTGCGGGACAAAGGGGAGATGGGGATGAGAAACCTGATTGGCTGAGGGCATGACTGGGTGGCAGTGTCAGATGTAAAAAGGGAAGGGACTCACCTGGGAGGAGGATGATGAACTCCAAGGGTCACAATCTGGGGCCCAGAGTCAGGATTTGGGTTAAGGGTTGAGCTTCGGCCTCATCCCCATCTCCCCTTTGTCCCGCAGGGCTCCGGGCAGCCGTGACCTTGCTGGAGTGCAGGGGGGAACCTCCAGCCCCCCGGGGGGTCCCTGCGCCTTCTCTGCCGAGGGTCCGGGTTCAGTTTCGGCAGTTTTGGGATGGGCTGGTATCGACAGAGACCCGGGCAGGGGCTGGAGCACGTCGCTGGGATCACCAACAATGCTGGTTGGACTGGCTACGCGGATTCGGTCAAGGGCCGGTTCACGATCTCCAGGGACAACGGGCAGAGCTCGGTGACGCTGACCATGAACAACCTCAAGGACGAGGATTCCGCCACCTATTTCTGTGCCAAATGTGCTTGTGCTGGTAGTTGGGCTGCTGCTGGTTATCCTTTTGACCCCCTCCCCATCTCTTTGCCCCCACCTGTCCCCGTTCCCCAGACCCTTCCCCCAAACCCCAGCCCCTGACCCCAGTCCTGTCCCCATGTCCCAGCTCTGAGCTGGCTCTGCCCCAATCTCAGCTCTTGACCCCAAACCTCAGCTCCTTGCTACAAGTCTCAGCCAAGGTCACCAAACCTGGGTGCAAATGCTGAAGATTTGGGAAAATGGGCCAGATTTGGGTCGGTGGGGGTCAGGGATGGGGTCATGGGTCGGACGGAAGGACCTGAACAATGGTGACAGGTGGGGACACATGGATGGGCACGGGTCAATGAATTCAAGGGCACCAGCAGCAATGTTAGTGCTGGACTCCTTGGTGCAGAAACAGGATCTGGGATCCTCGTCCTTGAGGTTGTTCACAGTCAGGGACATGGAGCTCTGCCCGTTGTCCCTGGAGATCGCGACCCGGCCCCGCAGTGACGGCGGGTAGTCGGTGCCACCGTGGCTGTCGATGGCGGCCACCCACGGCAGCCCCTGCCCGGGGCTCTGGCGGATCCAGTGCAGATCAGAACCACTGAAATCGAACCCGGCCCCTCGGCAGAGGAGGCGCAGGGAGCCCCCGGGGGGCTGGAGTTCCCCCCCGCACTCCAGCAGGGTCACGGCCGCCCGGAGCCCTGCGGGACAAAGGGGAGATGATTAAAAATGAGAAATATGATTGCTCCAGAAGGGGAAAGGGGTGTGGCTTTTGGAAAAATGGGCGGGGCCCACCTGGGAGGGGCAGCAGCAGCTGCACGGCCAGGAGCTCCAGGGAACTCGAGGCAGTGGCCATGTTGTGCTGGGGTTGGGGTCCCGGTGGATTTTGGCGGTCATTAATGAGTTTTTAATTGCACCATCAGTGGAGAAAAATCAGGAGGAGGTTTCCAATTACTAACAAGTGGATAGGGGAGAATTGTATGATTTGTGGCAACTTATAATACAGGACATCTCTGGTAGAGATTTGGGAGCAAACCAGGGGAGTTTGGCAATAACCGGGATGGTTTGGGGATGGGCTCCGGGTGGCCGTGACCCTGCTGGAGTGCAGGGGGCACCTCCAGCCCCCTGGGGGGTCCCTGTGCCTCCTCTGCCGAGGGTCCGGGTTCAGTTTCGGGGCTCACTCCATCACCTGGACCCGCCAGAGGCGTGGGCAGGTGCTGGAAAGGCTGGCGCTGATCGACGCTAGCGGTGCCCACGCCTGGTATGCGCCATCAGTGCAGGGCCGGTTCAGGATCTCCAGGTACAACGGGCAGAGCTCGGTGATGCTGACCATGAACAACCTCTAGGACGGGGGTTCCGGATCCTATTTCTGCGGGAAAGCTGCCTATGATACTTGGGGTGCTGCTGCTGATTGTTTTGATCCCATCGCCGTGGATGTGTCCCCCCCTCTCCCGGTTCCCCACACCCTTCTCCCAAACTCTGCCCTGAACCCATTTCTGACCCCATCTCCCAACCCTGTCCTGGCTCTGCCCCAAATTCTCCACTCTCGACCACAAAGTTGACCGAAATCTTAACCCATGACCAGAAGTATCCAATTTCAGAATCAAGTTTTGGGGCACAAAGAGGAGATTTGGGGTCAGGAGTTGTGGTTTGGGGTCAGTGGGTGAGAATTGGGGAGGAGGCAGAGCATAGTTGGGATCAATGGCCAAAGGCTGGGTGAAGGCGGGGTGTTTAGGGGAAGGGTCTGGGCAACGGGGACAGGGGGGGACACGAGGAGATGAGGACAGCACGAGCACCGTCAATATAATCAGCAGTAGCAGAAACACCACCACCAGGAGGTTTGACACAGAAATAAACGGCGGAATCGTCGTCCTTGAGGTTGTTCATGGTCAGCGTCACCGAGCTCTGCCCGTTGTCCCTGGAGATTGTCACCCGGCCCTTGACGGATGGCGCGTACTCGGTGTAACCTCCACTGTCACTGATCTTTGCGACAAATTCCAGCCCCTGCCCGGGTCTCTGGCGCATCCAGCCCATCCCAAAACTCCCGAAATCGAACCCGGACCCTCGTCACAGCAACGTCAGTGGAGGTCCCCCCCGCACTCCAGCAGGGTCACGGCCGCCCGGAGTCCATCTCCAAATCTTCACCAATATCACTCATAACTCCCCTGGTTCGGTCCCAAATCTCCACCAGATTTTTTGGTTATCCTGAGGTTCCTCAAAAGCTGGAATTAAACAATCTCATTAATTTATTGGACACCTTCTCCTCAGGGTTCCACATTGATTTCAAACGCAATACCACATTAAGAACCCCCAAACCCCCCTGGGACCCATCCCCAGCGCATCCCGGCCTTGGCCTTGAGCTCCCTCCGGCTCCAGTCCCTGCTGCTCCTGCTGCCCCTCCCAGGTGGGCTCCGCCCCTTTTTTCTGGAGCACCTTTTCCCCATCTAGACCAATCATATTTCTCATTTTTAATCATCTCCCCTTTGTCCTGCAGGGCTCTGGGCGGCCGTGACCCTGCTGGAGTGCGGGGGGGACCTCCAGCCCCGAGAGGTCTCTGCGCCTCCTCTGCCGAGGGTCCGCGTTCAGTTTCGGGAATGTGAACATGTACTGGATCCGCCAGAGACCCGGGCAGGGGCCGGAGTTCGTGGCAGAGATCAGCTACGATCTTTCCAGAAAACACTATGAACCATTGGGCAAGGGCCAGGTCACGATCTCCAGGGACAATGGGCAGAGCTTGCTGACGCTGACCATGAACAACCTCAAGGACGAGGATTCCGGATCCTATTTCTGCACAAAAGCTGTCAGTGCTGGTTTGGGTGATGCTGTTTGACCCCATCCCCATCGCTGCATCCCCACCTGTCCCCGTTCCCCAGACCCTTCCCCAGCTCCGAGCCCCTGACCCCGCCCGTGAGCATTTCTCAATTTCCCTTTCCCCTCTCCGGCCCCAAACCCCAACCCTTGGCCGTTGATCATCCCCCAAACTCAGCCCCAAAGGTCAGCGCTGGGCCCGGGGCTGGGGACACGAATTCAGTCACCGAGAGCAGGGACGAGGGCTGGGATTTGGGGGGAGGGTCTGGGGTATGGGAACAATTAGGGACGCAACAAAGGGGACGGGGAAAAATGCTCCATAACCAGCACCAGCAGCGTCACTACGATCAGCAACAACAGCATTACCACTCTCAGGAGTTTTGGAACAGAAATAGGATCCGGAATCCTCGTCCTTGAGGTTGTTCATGGTCAGCGTCACCGAGCTCTGCCCGTTGTCCCTGGAGATGCTGACTCGGCCCCTGAACGATGGCGAGTATCTGGTGTCTCCATCATAGTCAATCCCTGCAATGTATTCCAGGCCCTGCCCAGGCTGCTATCGGATCCACATCAGACTGGTTCGTCGAAAACTGAACTCGGACCCTCTGCGGAGGAGGCGCAGGGACCCCCCGGGGGGCTGGAGGTCCCCCCCGCACTCCAGCAGGGTCACGGCCGCCCGGAGCCCTGCGGGACAAAAGGGTGATGATGGAAATTGAAAGTCTGATTGGTCTAGGGCTTTTAAGTGGGCGTGGCCTTCTGGACAAAGGGGTAGAACACTGCTGGGAGGATGATGAACTCCAAGGATCCCAATTTGGGGCCCAGAGTCAGGATATGGGTCAATGTTGAGCTTTGGCCTCATCCCCATCTCCCCTTTGTCCCGAAGGGCTCCAGGCGGCCGTGACCCTGCTGGAGTGCGGGGGCGACCTCCAGCCCCCCGGGGGGTCCCTGACGTTGCTGTGCCGAGGGTCCGGTTCGATTTTGGGAGTTATGGAATGTTCTGGATCCGCCAGAGACCCGGGCAGGGTTTGGAATACGTCGCAGGCATCTACAACACTGGTGGCACCACCTACTACAATCCATCGTTCAAGGGCTGGTTCAGGATCTCCAGGGACTACGGGCAGAGCTCGGTGACGCTGACCATGAACAACCTCAAGGACGAGGATTCCGGATCCTTTTTCTGTGCCAAGAGTGTTGGTGCTGGTTGGGCTGAGAGTGCCCATCGTATTGGCGATGTCCCTGCTGTCCCCATCCCCATCTCTGTGTCCCCCCTGTCTCCGTTCCGCAGACCCTTCCCCCGAACCCCCAGCCCACATCCAGCCCTTGACCATCGATCCCAACCTTGCTCTGCCTCGACCCCAGTTCTTACCCGCTAACCCCAAACCACAACTCCTGACCCCAAATCTCCAATTTGTGCCCCAAAACCTTGTTATGAAAGTGGATATTTCAAGACAAGGGTTAAGGTTTGAGTCAACTTTGTGGTAATGTGCAGAGAGTGGATTTCAGGGCGAACCACTGCAAGATTGGGACATGGGGATAGGAATAGGGTCAGGGCTTGGGGTTTTAGGGAAGGGTCCAGAGAATGGAGATAGGTGGGGACCGGGGAACAGGAACATGGCCAAATGTCACTGAATCATGAGAGTGACCAACACCTGCAGCAGCACCACAACCAGCAGTACCAACAACACTTCTGCCACAGAAATAGGATTCGGAATCCTCGTCCTTGAGGTTGTTCATGGTCAGCGTCACCGAGCTCTGCCCGTTGTCCCTGGAGATCGTGAACCGTCCCTTGAACGATGGCGCGTGCCCGGTCCAACCATCATTGTATCTGATACTCGCGAGCCACTCCAGCCCCTGCCCGGGTCTCTGGCGCACCCAGAACCTGTCGTAGCTTCCAAAACTGAACCCGGACCCTCGGCAGAGGAGGCGCAGAGACCCCCCGGGGGGCTGGAGGTCCCCCTTGCACTCCAGCAGGGTCACGGCCGCCCGGAGCCCTGCGGGACAAAGGGGAGATGGGGATGAGGCCAAAGCTCAACCCTTGACCCAAATCCTGAGCTTTGGCCCCAAATTGGGACCCTGGGACCTCCTCTGCCGCAGTGCCCAGAGGCTGAGCTACCCTCTGCAAAACACAGATGTTCACAGTGACCAAAACCAGGAACTTTCTGTTTCCTTTCCTGCCCCAGCTGGGCCCCGGCAGCTGCCGGGGAGGAAGTGGGGGGAGGCTGCGGAGCCCCAAAATCACGGCGTCTGATCCTCCCTCCCTCCCTCGATCCCACCTGGGGCTTCACTTCTCCCTCAGCGGCCGCGGTGTCTGGGGCTGCTCCTTGGGGCTGGGCTGGAATCATCTCTGGGAGCTCTGGACATGGTGACGATGCAGGTGGTGGCCCCAAACCCCCATCCCTGTCTCCCCAAATGTCCCAAAACCCCCAAATCGTGCCCCAAATCCCAACCCTTGACCCCATTCTTGACCTTCTCCCCCAGTGTCCACCATCATTGCCCCAACATTCGACTTTATCCAAATTTTTCCCATTTCACCCAAATCTCCTCCAGCTCCCCGGGCCCTGATTGGAGGAGGCCTGAACTGGAGGCCAGGGGTGAAGATTTGGGGCCAATGGTTGAGTTTTGGGGCAGGAGCAGGGGAGGGTTTGGCGTCAGTGCTGACCATTGGGGCAAATGGGGGAGATTTGGGACAAAGGGTCATGGGCTGAGGTTTGGGGGAAGGGTCTGGTTTTGGGAGAGGAGGGAACTCAAAATTGAGGACTCAGTAAAAACCACCGTGACCAACATCATCACAATCAATGTCTTTACCAGCAGCAGGACCACAACAACCATCCTAACTTTTGGCACAGAAACAGGATCCGGAATCCTCATCCATGAGGTTGTTCATGGTCAGCATCATGGAGCTCTGCCCGTTGTCCCTGGAGATCCTGAACTGACCCTAGACTGACGGTGCGTAGTAGATGGCGCCACCAGTGTTGCTGATGTAGGCGACGAATTCCAGCCCCTGTCCGGGTCTCTGTCGGACCCATTGTAGGGCAAAACTACCAAAACTGAACCCGGACCCTCTGCACAGCAACGTCAGGGACCCCCCGGGGGGCTGGAGGTCCCCCCCGGACTCCAGCAGGGTCACGGCCGCTCCCCCATCCCCAAACATTCACTGTGTTTTTGCCCCAAACTCCCTTTGTCTGGCCTCCAATCTGAAACAGAGATTTCCAGTATTGTAAAGTGCCTTCAACACTGCAATTAGCCAAAATCCACCCATTGATTATTTGGACACCTCCACCTGACTTTTGCATCGCCCCATGCCCATCTCCCCTTTGTCCCGCAGGGCTCTGCCGGGCAGCCGTGACCCTGCTGGAGTGTGGGGGGGACCTCCAGCCCCCCGGGGGGTCCCTGCTTCTCATCTGCCGAGGGTCCGGCTTCAGTTTTGGCAGCAATGACATGTGTTGGGTCCGCCAGAGACCTGGGCAGGGGCTGGAGTGGCTCGCAGGGATCTGGGGCAATGGTGGAGACACCGGCTACGCGCCATCGTTCAAGGGCCGGTTCAGGATCTCCAGGGACAACGGGCAGAGCTCGGTGACGCTGGCCATGAACAACCTCGAGGACGACGATTCTGGATCCTATTTCTGCGCCAGGGGTGCTGATGGTTTTGGTGCTGCTTGGGGGGCTGCAAATATTGTTTATGGTTTTCTCCCTTTCTCTGTGCCCCAACCCTTCCCTCCACTCCTGACCCTTTGTCCTAACCCTGCCCTGCTCTGGCCCCAAATGTCATCTCCTGGCCTCAAATCAGGGCCGGTTTCACCCTGAGCTCTGTCTCGGCCCTCAAATCCCAACCATTGCCCCAGACTGGACCCGTTCTGGCCCAGAGTTTCAGTGGTGGATCTGAATCACAGACACATACCAAATCTGGCCCATTTTCCCCAAATCTCGACCATTTGCACTCAGGTTTGCGGACCTTGGTTGAGCGTTGGAGCCAAGAGCTGCGATTTGGGGCAGAACCAACTCAGAGCTGGGACATGGAGACAGGAATGGGGTCAGGGGCTGGGGATTGGTGAAGGGTCTGGGGAACGGGGAAAAGGCCAGAAGGATAAATGGGAGCAGCACCCCAATTAATAGCACCCGCAAATTTGGCACAGAAATAGGATCCGGAATCCTCATCCTTGAGGTTGTTCATGGTCAGCGTCACCGAGCTCTGCCTGTTGTCCCTGGAGATCATGAACCGACCCTTGACTGATGGGGCAAAGTTGCTGCCTCCATCCTTGTTGATCCCTGCGACGTATTCCAAGCTCTGCCCGGGTCTCTGGCGGATCCAGAGCAGGTCAGAGCTGCCAAAACTGAACCCGGACCCTCGGCAGAGGAGGGGCAGGGACCCCCCGGGGGGCTGGAGGTCCCCCCCGCACTCCAGCAGTGTCACGGCCGCCCGGAGCCCTGCGGGACAAAGGGGAGAAGGGGATGAGGCCGAAGCTCAGTTCTTGACACCAAAATCCCAACTATTGGCCCCAGGTTGTGACAATTAGTCCTTCTCCTCCTGCTCCTGGTCACCCTCCCAGGTGGGTCTCATCCCTTTTTCCAGCTGGCCACACCCACTGCAGGCCCAAAGACAATCAGGTTTCTCATCCCCATGTGGAGGATTTTATTAAGAGTTGGTTAGCTGAGAAAGGCCATTCTGACTTAATGCCGCTGGTTAAGCTCGAAAGGGAGGACAGCAGTCTCTGATTCAGTGACTGCTGACAGGCAAGAATGCCGGATGACCTTGCTGCAACATGAGGAAAGGGAGGTGAGATTAGTCCTGAATATCTGCAGAATGTAACAAAAGAATAAGCACAAGAATGTAGAAGTAGGTGTAGTTGCTGATATGTAACTAACCAATCCTGAGCTCAACTTTTGCAATATGTATGAAGC